TTAGAAAAATAATTATTCCAGTTAAAAGTGAACAAATAGAAATGGAAAGGAATGGAAAACGTACAAAATGTAGGAATATATTTCATCAAAGAATACAGAGTCCAGTTTAAGCCTCTGTCCTGTAGTCCAAACCATCCTTGTGACTGACCCAAATTGTCTTAGAGCTTGTCTGTTGCTTGCAATCATGATCTCCCAATGATCCACTGAAACCATGGAAAAATCAAACACTAGGGAGAGGCTTGTGAGTCCAGGATACAGAACTTTCATAGGCCTTAGCCCTAGATTATGGAATGAAGATAAAACCCACAAATCCATTAGCTTTCTAAACACAAAAACTATTTTTTTGACTTATCATGGTTTCCTTTGATAATTGATTTCTCCTTCTTTCAGTCATGTGAACACAATCCCCCACCCACACATAATGCATCCATTTACATAGACACTGCCAAATCTACTTACCCTTATTCAAAGAAACTATAAACCAGTGAAGCTATATTCCCTGTTGGCTGGGTTGGTGGGGGTAACATATTTACATTTTAAAATACTTACTAGATACTCAGATACCTCTGAAACTTTTGAACATACAGTAGTGATAACACAGTACATAAACAAAAACTCTAACCTTTTGAAAGAAAATTATTCATCTAATTTTCAGAGCAATACTATATGTGGGTGGAAAATTTAGCCTTAAATATTTGTATATAAGCAAATTATTTTTTTCATCCTAGGACTTTCCGACTTATATCACTAACTGCTACTCTCATTTGTCCCAACATGTTACATTGATGTAAAAAAAAAAAATCTGTACTTTTGTATGGTAGGTTTTAGAGAAGCAAATAAAATCCATTTTAAACACATCCATTAAAAATCACTATATGTTTACAGAAAAGATTTTTGTAACAAAGGTTTAATTTAAAAAGTTAATAACTGTATTCCAGAAGATCTGAGTCATCCACAGTAATAATTAGGGGGGTTGTTCTATACAAAATGCTTTATTTAACCTTCATGCCTCCATTCAGATAATTATACAAATGCATACATTTAAAGGTTTAAATTCTATTTCAGTTCACAGCTCAATTCATAGGAAAGTTGAATACAGAAAAGCAATGCACCAACAAAATATGTCTGAGACACCATTAAAAACAGTAACACTTCTTCATTTAAATCTTTGAGAATAGACTGGAATAGTCATCCTCTGACAGAATTTCATGAGGGGACTCCCTTTACATTATCATAGGGCAAAAATCACCATTTTACAGTAAGGGGAAAAAAGCTCTGAGTATATTTACAGTACATACACTATACATAAATACAAGAACAACACTTACATAATATTAATAAACTTATAACATAGGTGTTGCCTAAACACTACATAGTATATAAATGCAGAGGAAACTATTGGGAAATCAGATGGTCAGATGATTTTTTTAAAGAAATGTTTTGCAGTTAAAACCCTTTGAAAAGAAAGCAAAAGAAAGATTTAAGGAATTAATACATTTGCCTGCTAGCAATTCTTTTCACTACAGGACTTTCTATTGACACACCTATCTCTATTGAGTTATGGACTAGGGACCCTTTCAGATCACAGTCTAAGAAAGAGAATCAGATGCTGCACATACAATTCCACTGCTGTGAAGCTTCAGTCCTGAATCAGTAGTTTTGGAAATTAAGGGATGTTTTTGTATTTTTACACAAGAGGATCATGCGAACAATTACTGGCACTTTCAAAAATAATTACTTAACTGAAGAGAAAAATACGGGGCCAAATTTAACCCTGGCCTCAGTGTTACACCTAAGATCATGACGGCATTTTCTCCATCCATATTTGGCTTGGCCAAGAATGATATTTTTTATTATGCTTTTGTTTCTTCACAAACACAGCTGACAGAACACTTCAAGTTGATATTATTTTTGACCTCACATGTAGAAGGTAGAGTCTCAGCTCTTCAGACACTTTGAATGAGTGTGTGTGTGGTTGTATGTGTGTGGGGAGTAGTGGTGAGGTGGATTAAGGACCTCATGGTTAATGTCTGAAGCGTAATCATTTTATATCTGTGTATGTTCTCTTGTGGTTGCAAATGGAAAATACAATTTTTCAGGAATAGACAAGAGGTAAAGAGAATGTATTGTATAAGTATTCATTGGAAAACTCACACTACACAAGAAGTGATGTAATGTATATTTACAGAACTACTGGGAGAGAAAGAAGTTGTTTTTAGAAGTATATATATATATATGTCTATTAGAAATGGGCTTAAATCAGGACCAAATATACGACCTAATCTGAATTTTGGACACATTCAGATCCAATCCAAAGAGCACGTCTCAAACCTGTCACTTTTGATAAACCCAATCCCAAGTCTGATGGGCCTGGATTTAGAGATAGCTGGTGCTTATATCTGGTTCCAAACTTCATGGCTCAGGTTTTTATCTCAATACAGTCCATAAAAACCATATCACATTCCAGTGTCACCATGCTGAACACTGTATATATTTGTAAGTTAATTTTTAAAGGTGGGGGATTTGCAAAATACAAAAATATATCTCATCAAGCAAATCAACGTGTCTAACCATACAGAAAGGAAAAGCATTTTTACAGTCACTAATATTTCAGCTTGCTAACATTTTCTGAAAGACTAAATTCTGGAAAATATTGAAGATCATGAATTCATACAACAATGCCCCAGATAATCTCTACCACCAAGAGCCTGATCTTATATTCCTATAATAGCCAAAATTTGTACTGAATTTTTGCCTGTGCTAAGGAGTGTGTCCATAATATTATACGATACTACAAAACTATTTCAGTTTATTTCAGCATCAGTGAAAACCACAACTACTACAGAGATATACTGGCAATCAATGCAACAAAAAGCGTGTGTGTTTGTGTGTGTGTGTGTTTATGTCCGTATTGCAGAATGAAGCAAGAAGAATTGCATATTTTTGCATAATGAGGATTATACTTCATTTCTTATGAATGGCCAACAGACACATGCAGCTGCAGTAAACCAATCAACCTAAATGAGATTCTATGGGGGCCTTTTTCTAGCAGTGCTCCATCAGAGAAAACACACAGAAAAAAAACAACCCAAACCAAAACAACCATTTTTGCCCTTCAGCCTGTTGTTGACATATTTACTACTACTATCTATCCCCAGTGTGCACTGAGTTCTTTTACATGCTTGATGTCTGGACATTACATTTAGGATGACACAGTAAATATTTGCATGTCCTGATGCGATTGTGTTCACTGAGGATTAAAAATGATTTGTCACTGATCTAGTGGTAATAAAAAGTTTTTAACTGACACACACTAATATCTGCAGTAGTGTTTGCACACCAAGCTCCGCATCTTCAAACACAGTATCTAAATTTGCAACGGCCATATTTCTTTGCACAACTATTTTTGTTTACACAGAATCCTGTGTTGGTTTGTGCAAACCAAGCAGATGTTATGCCATTCAAATTTCACACACAAATGAGGATTTTTGCATACACAAAATGTAGTGTTTGCAAAACTGCAGTTACTCATTTTGAGGCTTTTTAAAAAATATGTTCTGCATTATATTATTTAAGCACAGAAGGCAATGTTCTTCAGTAAATTCATTTTAAGATGCAGAAAAGGCTTTAGAAATGACACCACTGAGGTATTTTAAAAGTTCATTAGCACATCAATTAATTAACTGTCTGTCAGAAACATATCAGATATATGTAAAAAAGAGAGGCAGCATGAAAAAGCCCTGGTTGTCATGGCTGGCTATTTTTTAGAATAGAATCAATGATTTTTTTAATGTAATTGTACAGGACAGTAAGATCATTTGACATAAAAAGCGCTCTCTGGATCATTTTACAAATAACTGCAAATATGCTCTAAGCTCCCATTCGCGTATTGCAAAAAAGAAAAAAAGAGAGTGATCCATTCTTCACCATCTGATAAAAGTATTTCAGTGAGTTCCCTGGCAATTCAAAATTTTTCATAAAAAGTTTTATTATACAAGTCAAAAAAAATAGAGAGGGAAGTAACGTGAAATTTAAGTTTCAAGAATTCAAAGTCAATTTGAGAGCTTTTTCAAGGAATTTCCATTGAAAAGCAATGCACCACATTATTCCTCTACAAACTGTAGCTAGGGTTTCACTGGTTTTATTGCTGTTTTTCTGGATCATTTAACTTGAGAATACCCTGTATACCTGGATGATTTTCAAGCAAACTGGACACAAATTGGGAAGAAGCCCCAACAGAGAACTGGGTAATGACTTCTGTTTTCTCCCTGCAGATTTTGGAAAAGACCATACCAGAGAAAGAAGATAAAAACTCTACTACACCATGTTAATAAATGAAGAAAAAAAAACCCCAACAAACAACACTTTGTGTTTGTCTGTGAGTTGCATCATGGCAGTCCAAGTGTAATTTTATTTTTGTTTTATTGACAACAAGATCTTAGTTATTGCTGTGTAAAAGTAAAAGAACACCCCATCAGTTCTAATATTCATGAACAGGCACTTTCACTTTCTGTTTCATGTCTGTAAATGGACTTTGGGTTGTCCTTGTTACAAGCATATGTGCACTAAAAATGTCACAATTTTCTTATAGCACTTCATCTTGAAACACAACTGTACCTAAAAGATCAAATTCCCTGGAATCAGCAAAGAGTTGACCATCTGTTTTAGCTGTGCAATCTTTCATTCAAAATGCAGTTTACCAGGGGAAGATAATCACCACATACACATTAAATGAGAGTGAGTTGCTACTATATCTTTCGTGTATTTTATGACTATGGGTACATCTACACTTGCTCTCTAGTTCGAACTAAGGATGCAAATGTAGGCGACTGAAATTGCTAATGAAGCAGGGATTTAAATATCCCGCGCTTCATTAGCATGATCCTTGCTGGCGTGTTACCCTGCTCAACAGCTGTTCCGAAAGTGAAAGTGTGTACCGGGACGTGTTAGTTCGAACCAAAGCCTTGGTTCGAACTAACATTACTCCTCAAAAAATGAGGATATTTAAATCCCCGCTTCATTAGCAATTTCGGTTGCCTACATTTGCATCCCTAGTTTGAACTAAGGAGCAAGTGTAGTGTACCCTAAATGAAAAAGCACCAATGCAGTTGCTCGTTTTTTGTTTGTTTTTTACCTTGGTCAGACTAAGGCATCTTGAGTTTTGTCTTATTCAGCTTTCAAGGACTCAAAGGGTACATCTACACAGCAACGTTATTTCAGAATAACTGACGTTATTCTGAAATTAAAAAAGAGTGCGTCTACACAGCAAACCATTATTTTGAAATAATGATGATCTGGAGAATTTCTTACTCTGACTCATCATAATCCTCATTTTATGAGAGTAAGGAAGTCAAATGAAGAGAGTTCTTCCCTCTACTTCCTGCTGTGTAGACAGTACCAAAAGCCAAGTTTAGCTATTTCGACTTCAGCTACGCAATTGACATAGCTCAACTTGCGTAGCTTATTCCGACTTCAGCCCTGCTGTGTAGATGTGCCCTTAATTACTTCATTGAATCTAATACTACTGGCAATAACCCAAGACCAATGGCACTCTATTTTTGCACAGACTGAACATGCTCTGACAAAGTGGAAAAAATTAGTTCCTATATTTTAACTGTGTATAAGTTTTACAGGGCATATCTGAGCAGGTTTTAATTTTCTTTTTTTTTTGCAATGAAAACTACAATTCTTTTTAAACATACTTCATTTAAACTATTTACATCCTGTGTAAAACGATAAGTTTGAAAATACTTTTTGACTATCATATATATTACAGAATATTTAAACTGTTACAAGTACAGTAAAATACCTTCATTCTATTATTTTTAAAGATGCAGTATCCTTATAGTTAGGTTTTATAACTAGAAACTCAATTGCTACTGAAATTGATTAAGATTTAACATATTTAAAAGTACCAATGGGCATGACTTGCTAAGCATACATTGCACAGTTACTGTTACTCTGTAATGAAACTGTGAAAATAGAGCAGTTTTAAAATTTCTTTATGTACATCTTCAGTTACAAAACACACACAAAGACATAATAGAGGAATACAAACTGGTTTCTTAATAAGATGAAGGTATTTACTTTTTACAGTACTAAATGTGTCCAATTCTTCATCCGGTTTTGAAATCATGGTTAAATATTTCTAATTACATACATGATAAGGTATGTGAACACGTGGGTGTTTGTATGCAGGTATGGATGTGTGTGTGAATTGGGACAGCATGGACATGGTGAATGGCCTCATTTTTGTATGCTGTAGAAGACACAGTTTACCTCACTGACCTCTCAAAAAAAGATATTAATGGTTACAAGCTCATCTCCATTTTGAAGCATCCACCTTCTCTCTATAAATCAGAAAGAGAATTTTTCCATTAAAGAACATTTGTTATCAAAAGATACATTTATCAATGGCAACCTAGAATATGTTTTCTACTTAATTAATGGGAACTGAGACCTGTGATTGGTATTATTCTACTATTAGTTATAGTGTAGGGACCAACTATTTGTCCATTCTCTGCATAGTGAATCTACCCCCAATATCAATATTACTGATGGCATTTTTAACACTGTTAATTTCATTATACATGACTTCAGCTAACAGTTTCTCACACACATTAGTTTAAATCTATTTTATTTTTAATGGTGTTAAGTATAAGACAATGGAAAATAAGGAATACTGCATCTTCATCTCCTGTATAAATTGCCTTTGCAGTGATCTGATTCCAAAATGCTGGATCACACGGGTGTCTCAAAAAAGTAATGAAAATTTAAAGTTTAAAAATGTGGTATAAAAAAGAACTCCTGTTCAATATATTTTCTGATACTACTGGTTACCGGGCTTTAGTGTCCCGACCAAACACAGCCATTTAAAATCATGTGGAGTGTAGCATTTTGTAGCCTCAGTACACATGCAAAATGTAATTCATACAGCATACCGTTTACCATTTATTCACACTGAAAAGGATAAAAATTTGCTCTTATTGAAAGAATGGGATGGTTCACATATGTGCTTTACACCTGCATATGTACAGAACTAGTGTGTCGTGTAAAGATGACTCCAGATAATCCTGCATGCTGTTTAAGTTGTAAGCCTTATAAGCCATTCATATTGCAAATCTGCAACAGAATTTGGCGTTTTAAAGAAAATTATAATAGGGAATATCAGACTTTGCATGAATGCAAAAGATTGGAGGTAGCTCTGAACCAAAACCCTTGGTCTAAGAACGCTCTGGGGCTGTGTCTACACTGGCGTGATCTTGCGCAAAAAAGCAGCCACTTTTGCGCAAAAACTTGCTGCCTGTCTACACTGGCCGCATGTTCTTGTTCAAGTAAACTGACATTCTAATGTATGAAATCAGAGCTTCCGGTGCCAGAACTCTGATGCTCCCGCTCAGGAATAAGCCCTTTTGCGTAACTGTTCTTGCGCAAGAGGCCAGTGTAGACAGGCAACATAAATTTTTTGCACAAGAAAGCCCTATGGTTAAAATGGCCATCAGAGCTTTCTTGCGCAAGAAAGTATCTACACTGGCATGGATGCTCTTGCGCAAAAGTACATCTCTTGCGCAAAAACACATGCCAGTGTAGACACTCTCTTCTGGAAGAGTTTTTGCAGAAGAACTCTTCCGTAAAAGAGTTTTTGCGTGAGAATGCGCCAGTGTAGACGTAGCCTGGGAGTCAGAGCACAATCAGATCTGGAGCAGAACATTATGGGTTGCCGATCATCTCTCTTCCAAGATAACTTCTCTTAAATCATTTTAGACCAAGAACACAAGCCTTAAAAATGGTCTCACTGAACATACAGGGGCAAATTCTGTGCACTCAAATATACATGTGAAGCTTCCCATTAATTTTAATGGGTGCCTACAAATCCAAAGGCAGATTATAGCTTATTGGAGAGCCAGTCTGTACAGAATTGCATTATGAAAGCTCTTCCACACAGAGATATTTTATCTTAATTTTCCTGACTGGGAAGATAAGAGTTTTTGGACAGTCCTCGTTGACACATTTCATAAATGGGGACTATCTGAAAACTCCAGTATTTGATACTTCTTCTTGGGCACCTGTTTCTGATTTCTCTTACACTAGTTTTACACTGGTGTTAATTGATTTTAATGATTTTACCCATTTCACACTGGTTTAATCCAGAGTACAATCAGACCCTTTCTGTTATTTGCTTTAGTGATTTTAATATCTAGCCAGATGAGAGAAATGATGACATCCCTTAACTGCCATTCCTGAAAACTAGCCAGATTGACTTATCAATCTCCGGCTGGCCAATAAACTTTATTTTCTAAAGATGAACTAGCTCCAAAAAAAACACAAAGCAAAAAGAGACACCACATTATGTGCTGAAAGGAATTTCTTTGTTCACCAGTAAAGATTAGCCCAAAATAATTTCTGGTTCCTTATGTTTAATGACTGGTACTTGAGTAATTGCTAATTGTTCATTAAAGGAAGTCTCATACTTGTGCTTGAACCATTTTTAGAAGAACTGGTATGTTTAAAAGGACACTGAAGTTGTACAGAGGATTGTAGATTTAACTTATAGACAATGCTAATGGCATCTCACATACTCTAAACAGTCAGTCCTTTATATGAGGAATGAAACACTGTTAGTAAAAAGTTTTACTGTATAATCAGGAGACCCCATGGCAACCCATCCAGCAATAGTGTGCTCTAGATTTGTTTCAGTCCCAGCCTGTTACCCTGTTCCTTTGACTCTCAATCCTGGGGTCTCCAGTGCTAGATATTGAAATGTTGTTTCTTGTGGATCTGGATGACCTCCCTGATCATAAGAATACGGCAGGAAATAAGCAGTGGAAGAAGCAAGCTCATGCAGTGACAACAAAGACTTTTTTGGTGCTGCTCTTTGAGCTGGGCAGCTGGAGTTGAATAGCCTTGTCCCCTTATGTGAGAAAGCTGATCATTTGTTCAGTATCAGGAGAACATTTATAAACCTATTTAGAGATGATCAAATTGTGAGCCTGCCAATCTTATACAATAGTGCCCCTTTTATGTTATTCTTCAATTTATTTGCAATTGTATTCGTGTTTAGTTATGCCTTCCTTAGCTGTTGTCTGAATGTTTCTTAAAGACTGCTTTGATTTAAGAAGCCCAGTAACATAAGTATTATTATTTCAGGAATCTGAAGTTAATTCAGATTGCTCAAACATCATGGCATCAAGTGTGTTCATGGAACCAAGTGTTCATAATTAAATGTACTGTAGAAGATGTTATGTGTTTATTTTTTAATCTCCAATTTTAGCATCCCAACAAACACATAATCTTACCAAGACTCTTTGTCACTTTGAGTTGAATAACAGATCCTTTTGAAGAAGAAAAAAATCCTATTCTGTTTTAAAGTACAATTGCTGGCTAAGCGCTCCTCTCTTTAACACACAATTTAATGAATAATAATTGGCTCACAATTAGAGGGCTGCATGGGAATGATAAAACAATTTGCTTTCATGTAAACTAAGGAGGTTTGGAGGTTGAAGATGCCTGCAGCAGCAACCACTAGACCACATGTGAAGGGCTATGTATGGCATACTGAAGGTTTGACTAATGCCTCCTTACCCTGTACTTGCAATCACCCCAGGGATCATCTCTTTCAGAGAAAACTTAAAAAACAGTGAATAGTCCTGCAGCACCTTAGAGACTACCCAAAAAATATAGATGGTATTGTAAAATCTGAAGAAGTGGGGTGTGCCCACGAAAGCTCATGATACCCTCTACATTTTTTGTTAGTTTTTGTTAGTTTTTAATGTGCTGCAATGACAATTTGCTGTTTTTTAAGTTTTTTTCAGTTACAGACTAACACAGCTACCCCTCTGAATCTCTTTCAGAGAACAACTCTTTTAGGCTATTAACTCATTAGCAGTGGGCGTTTGCCTATCCCATCACTTTTCTCTCACCTTTCCAGACACAAAGTAACTATTCCATTTGATGGGAATAAAAATACCTAACTGTGTTTCCTAGCAGGCCGACAAACATCAGAAAGAATAGCTTAAGCAGTAAACATAACACAAGAAATCCAATGTGCTATTTCTTTACAGCCACCTTCGTTGGCACAAAGATTGAGTTTTGCAAGTCCTCACTGTATTTTTATCTTAAAAGCCATTTCATTCATTATTGCTTTCACCTGTTAGAGATGCAGCTGTTTCTTTTCTGCTTTTCCCCACTAGCAGTTGTACATTCAATTCCATTTTATAGATGGCCATACCATTAATCATGCTGCAAATGGATATAAGATTTGTTTCACTGTTAACTTGTAATCAAATACGTGGATGTAGAAGGAGAGAATGCATAGGTGACAAAAAACTGCACTTTGAAAACAGGGCAATAACTTGTAGGTGGTGTCGTTCTATACAAACTGTTGTAAACAAATTCACGGCAGAGCACAGGTTCTCACACTGTATTTCAGCTGAAATGCTGCTGAAACCCCATTTTGTTTTACAGACATCAACAAACAAAAAACCCCCCCCAATATGAAAAAAAAGAAAAGGTTACATGTTTGGTGTCTTTTAGGGTGTAATGACAAACTGTGATGAAATAGTAAAATGCCACCATCATTATTGCAAAAGTCTGCTTATGTGCTCTATGCTTCAGATAGTGGAACCTCTCCAGCAAAATCATCTTGCTGACTTTCCTGCAGCTTGTTTGTAGCACAGATCAGGTATTTTTTCTATACTGATTAGACGGCACTCAAAAAAAGGGAAGATGATGGAAAATTGAAGATCTAGAGGTCTTGTTCTTGTCATTGGTTTGTGTTATCCGATCATCAAAATAGCAATTATTCTCAAGAACAAAATGTCCAATAACTGAGAAAATGCACAGGTCATAAATGTTGTTAAAGGACACAGTATGGAAAATAATGCCCATTTTTGTAGCATTTAAGTTGCTCTCTCCCAGGTGAACATGATGACATTTTTTGGGGTGTGGAGGAGGTTACCATGCTGGGGGGCTTTAACCTCAGATGGAAAGGAGAAGAGTGGCACTTCTTTTCCTGCTTTTTAGTTATGGACATCATGGAATGTCCTTTTGTGTTAACACTGTAGAAGGGGATTCAGCCCTGCTGAATGCACGTAGTTAAGAGGCCCAGCTCTTACACTCTGATGACAAGTAGCATTTCTCACACCAGCATGTGCCTGCGGCGGTGCAGTGCCAAGTGATCTGAACGGGAAAAGCTGCGGTCACAGTCTGCACACTTGAATGGCTTCACTCCTGTGTGCTTGCGATAGTGCCTTGTCAGTTCATCTGAGCGAGCAAACTTCCAAGTGCACCCTTCCCAGGTACATTTGTATGGTTTCTCTCCTAGGACAGAAAAAGAGAGAAAGAAATAGGTAGTGACATTCTATGCAGTTGATCACAGTCATTCCAAACCCCTCTGCATGTGTCTCACTCCCATTGCCTCTTGGGCAGTTTAAGGAAAACGTTTACTCTGGATCTGCGGAATATTAGACATTACTCTGATCCAGAGTTCTTTAGTCCTGCAGAAGTCACATGACTAAGAGAGTCAACTAGTTTAGGGTAACAACTATCTGAGGACAGAGCACTGTGCCAACCTGAGTATCATGACAGTGCAATCCTGTCTGCTTGAACTTCCCCGGTCCACACCTGCTCTCAAAATGGCAGACTCCCCTCAGTTTTCATTCAAAGAGTGCTAAAGGAAAGTCTCTTTTTATAAAAGCTTCATTGATTTTACAAACCATACAACAGGACATTTACTAGCACATTACAAAGCAGGGGTGGGGAACCTCTGGCACACGACTCGTCAGGATTAACTGCTGGCAGACTGCCAAACTGCTTGTTTATCTGAGTGTTCACAGACATGGCCTCACACAACTTCCAGTGGCCGTGATTTGCCATTCCTGGACAATGAGAGCTGCAAGAAGGGGTGTCAGTTTTGGCCCACAGCTCCCACTGGCTGGGAATGGCAAACATGGCCATTGGGAACTGCCGGATTTTGCAGCTACAGACACTCCGGTAAACAAATGGTCTGGAAGCCCATCAGCGGCTAAATCTGATGAACCACATGTGACCAGCACGCTGGAGGTTTCCCATCCCTGTTATAAAGTCTATACAAATAAAATACCTCTCTCAAAATAAATAGAAAAAGAACAGTAAGTGAGGCTCTCTCCTTGTGCTTCTTCATGTAGGTGAAATTCATGTTAACAGTGTGGGATCTGCAAAAAAGCAGTTTGACACTTCTCCCATCGAAGCCAATGGTAAAACTCCAATTATTTCAATGGAACTAGCATTAGGCCAATTTGGAATGCTTTGGAAAAGTAAACCGTGCGGCACAATGTAGGTTTTATACAAGTCCACACAACGTTAGCAGAACAATTCAAAACATCTGCATTTTATTCATTTACCAAATAATAATTTTGTTACGCAAACTAATTTCTGTTCCTCTTACAGGCCATGCAATGATATAATTTAATCATCACCCCAGCATTCTTTGGTGACATGAACTGCTCTAGGATATCCAGCAGTCTACTGTGCTTCAAAAACTGATAAGAAATCAGCTTTGGTCACATAAATGTGTGCTTTAAGAAACTCCACTGGCAAACCGAGTTAGCATTTTGAAACTTGTCATGTATACTGTGGTTGCAGTTCCTAAATCAGCCAGCCACTAGCAGCATTATGAGGGAAAAAAATAATCTCTTTGTTTCTCAATAATTTCTTTATTAGAAATCATCCACACTAGTTTATTTATGCTCTTGTTCTGGTTCATACTTAGGCTCCCTGGAATCCTGAGCAAAATGAGTAGCAAAATACTACTTCAATTACATAAATAGCAAGAGAACACTTGCTTTAGCCCCCTACAGCACCTCCTTGCAGGTGTCTCTCCAAAAGTCAACAAACACTTGTTGAACTCATAATTTCAAAGGAAAAATCTCACTCATTTCCCAGTTTAGAAAATTGTTGCCACGTTTTAGTGGGATAAGACCTGAAACATCCAGATGAAATGACAGTGTGTGACTTTATAAGAATTAATGGGCTGCATACATATAGTAACATTTGAGCTATATCCATTGCACATCATCTAGGAGTGGGTATGTCTACACTACCCTCCTAGTTCGAACTAGCAGGGTAATGTAGGCATACCGCACTTGCAAATGAAGCCCGGGATTTGAATTTCCCGGGCTTCATTTGCATAAGCGGGGAGCCGCCATTTTTAAAACCCCGCT